TATTTTAAAGATACGCAAGAAATTTTGGAGTGCCATTTATAGCCTGAAATTATATTTTCAGTAAAGAATTTTTTTCTCGAAAGTGCGTAGGATTTTGGGGGTGTGTCTGTTAACCAAAAATGATTGTAATTAACCCCCCTAGTTAAAAATAATTTTTTTTAAACGATTTGAAATTTTTCAATTTTGTCGAAAAATTTGTCTACCTTTCTGAATTTTTTTCTCAAAAATGCGTAGGATTTTGGGGGTACGTCTATTCACCAAAAATGATTGTAATTGACCCCTCCAACTAACTATAATTTTTTTACAACGATTTGAAACTTTTCAATTTCGCCCAAAAAATCTACCTTTCTGAATTTTTTTTCTCGAAAATGCGTAGGATTTTGGGGATACGTCTATTCACCAAAAATGATTGTAATTGACCCCTCCAACTAACTATAATTTTTTTACAACGATTTGAAATTTCTTAATTTCGTCGAAAAATTTGTCTACCTTTCTGAATTTTTTTCTCGAAAATGCGTAGGATTTCGAAGATGTGTCTATTCACCAAAAATGATTGCAATTGACCCCTCCAACTAACTATAATTTTTTTACAACGATTTGAAACTTTTCAATTTCGCCCAAAAAATCTACCTTTCTGAATTTTTTTTCTCGAAAATGCGTAGGATTTTGGGGATACGTCTATTCACCAAAAATGATTGTAATTGACCCCTCCAACTAACTATAATTTTTTTACAACGATTTGAAATTTCTTAATTTCGTCGAAAAATTTGTCTACCTTTCTGAATTTTTTTCTCAAAAATGCGTAGGATTTTGGGGGTACGTCAATTCACCAAAAATGATTGCAATTGACCCCTCCAACTAACTATAATTTTTTTACAACGATTTGAAATTTTTTAATTTCGTCTAAAAATTTAGTGGAATTAGAAACAAAGAAAAATTAGTAATTCGTTGTTTTGCTTTCGTGTACGATTCTAAGAATTGTCTCGTGTGAACGTCACTCGTTATTCAAAGTTGATTAACCCCCAATTGACCGCCATTGTCGCGCCACGCTGGAATACGTTTGTTGCTAAGAAAATAACGCGAATTGTACGAATCTTGCGCGAAAATCGATTACGAAAACCGTCTAAAAATTCTCTCTCTCGAGAACGATTCAAGCTCGCAGCTAAACCAATGCCGTGGGATTTGGCTAACGAAGCTTGCAATTAAGAATTTTTTTTTAAACCCCCCTGCCGAGCGAAACACACACATTTTAAAGAAATTCATAGTCGCATTATAACGTCTGGAGATTTACACTATCGCTCGAATGTATTTTTTTAATTGCACACCTCCGCGCGAGAATTTTTTTTAGTTTCGTATCAAACTCGAAACACATTTTTTCCCGCGCGTTACCACAAATTCGGTCTTTTAAACTTCATCGAAACGAACCTCCTCGTTGGAAGGAGAGAAATTTTTTAAATTAATCTCATTCCAAAATTAGTCGAAAGTAAATAAAATTGCGTTTCGAAATCTTATTGCACTTTGTTTCGTGTTCACACACAAAGCTTCGATAGCATTACTGGTGTTTTGTTGGTGACTCAGAGGAACTTTAAATATCTTCGCGGAGCAACATTCATTTAACCTTTTCATTGACTAATCATCGTCTTGCGTCGTAAATAATCTCGAACTGAGACTTCATACTTTTGTCGGAAGTGTTCGTTGCTCAATATTGCATTTTATATGAATTTTTTTCATATTATTTAGCGTTAATTACGTTTAAGTAATTTCTATTAAAATTTTAATTTTAAAATAAATTCAATGAGAATTTTAAATTTCAATTCTTGGGAGAAAATTTCATTATATAATTCTTTAATACAACCTATATACATCAATTTTATTTACTCTTTTCTAAATTCTAGTTTATCATATACATATATATAAAATTTATTTTAAAATAAACAGAAAGAGAATTTTAAATTTAAATTCTTGAATATGTGAATTGATACTCGAATGAAATTTTCTTTTATACATGTATATAATTGTTTAATCAACCTGGTGCATTTTATTCACTCTTTTTAAAATTGCAGAATACGTATGAATATAAATTCCATATAAATAGAAACTTCCACAAGGCAGCCATTTTACAGAATCCTCTTTTGCAATAAATTATTCCCCCAAAATCCTCTATCAACCAGTAAAAATCAATTATTTAAAGTTGAATCGTTCCAAAGAATCCCCTCACTCGTTGTGAAACATTAAATTTTCATTCAAAGCTTTTGGCGGTAAATTCAAAAGATTTGAAAATTTTCCGCGACTTTTTTCTTCCCCTTTGAGCTCCAGATATTATATAATTCTTTAATCCAACCTATATACATCAATTTTATTTACTATTTTTTAAATTCTAGTTTATCATATACATATATATAAAATTTATTTTAAAATAAACAGAAAGAGAATTTTAAATTTAAATTCTTGAATATGTGAATTGATACTCGAATGAAATTTTCTTTTATACATGTATATAATTGTTTAATCAACCTGGTGCATTTTATTCACTCTTTTTAAAATTGCAGAATACGTATGAATATAAATTCCATATAAATAGAAACTTCCACAAGGCAGCCATTTTACAGAATCCTCTTTTGCAATAAATTATTCCCCCAAAATCCTCTATCAACCAGTAAAAATCAATTATTTAAAGTTGAATCGTTCCAAAGAATCCCTTCATTCGTTATGAAACATGAAATTTTCATTCAAAGCTTTTGGCGGTAAATTCAAAAGATTTGAAAATTTTCCGCGACTTTTTTCTTCCCCTTTGAGCTCCTTCAGATTCCGCCATTGGTTACAATGAAAGATAGATTATACACGACAATGGAGAACGATCAAAACGATGAATAGAGAAGAATTGGCAACCGAATCACAATTCCGACACTATCGTTTCACCCGAAAAGGAAAAGAATAATGGCTGCGCGGGCAGGATCTATTTATTACAGCCTCTTACGACTCCGGGGACGACAATCATAACCGGAATTATATCGCAAACGAATTCAAGAAACGCGTTTAAAATTAGCTGAACGAGTACTTGCATCGTACATAACGAAATAAAAAATTTATGGGCTGAAATATGAGATTTTATCGCATCCTCCATGTTTCTTAGATCTTTAAAGACAAAAGATCGTTATTTAACAAATTAATATCTAACAAATTAACCATTTAATTCTTTTGGGATCTGTTTTTACCTAATTCATGCCTGCAAAATGAAAAATCTGTAAATTTTGTATGTTTACTAACCTAAAATAATAATTATTTCATAAGTTATTGTATAAGTCTCCATTTATAAGTTCACCAAATACAAAATGGTTCTTGGATTCAAAACAACGAAACAAGTTTGTATACAATTACGTTCGATACGACCTGATCTTCGAATCTAACCTTTTATTTCGTTGCTTTCGAAAGAAAGAAAAATTCTCATCCATGATGAAAGTAATATAGTGAAAGTGAGAGTAATAAAATTGGTGTTACGTGTAGAAATTTGTTTTCATTATTACCAGAGAAGAAGAAGAATTATTTCCGGGGTCCACAAAATGGAGACTTTTGTTCTAAAATAATAATTATTTTAATATCTAACAAATTAACCATTTAACACTTTTGGGATCTGTTTTTACCAAATTCATGCTTGCAAAATGAAGAATCTGTTAAACTTGTATTTTTATTAACCTAAAATAATAATTATTTTAATATCTAACAAAAATTAACCATTTAACCATCTGTTTTTACCAAATTCATGCTTGCAAAATGAAAAATCTGTAAATTTTGTATTTTTACTAACCTAAAACAATAATTATTTTAATATCTAACAAATTAACCATTTAACCCTTTTGGGATCAGTTTTTACCAAATTCATGCTTGCAAAATGAAAAATCTGTTAAACTTACAAAATTTTACTAACCTAAAATAATAATTATTTTATAAGTTACTAGCATGCCCCGTCGCGGCTTCGCCCGATCTTGTGCAAATGCAATTAATGACCAGATGATCGTCCTGACATATATATCCGCGATAATGCAATTCTCTCGCGAGAAACCGCTCGAGAGCATCGCCACCTGGCGGTGACATCGCAGTACTGCTACCGGGCGAGGATAGGGAAACACACACCATCGTAAAAGTGCGCGTATAACGCATATTCGTAGAAATTTTTCGATGTTTTTTTTTTATTATAAACCATCGGTGAAAGTAGACCTTTCCAACGCATGTACTCGTTTGAAAATCGTTTGAGTGGTTCTCGAGTTATAAAATCACGAACATAGGACAACTTATTTTTATATACATGTATATAGATTATCTAAGTCTCCATTTATAAGTTCGCCAAATACAAAATGGTTCTTGGATTCAAAACAACGAAAGAAGTTTGTATACAATTACGTTCGATACGACCTGATCTTCGAATCTAACCTTTTATTCCGTTGCTTTCGAAAGAAAGAAAAATTCTCATTCAACAAACACGATTCAACGTAAATTCTAAATTCAAAGAAATCCTCACGTGGATCTGATGCGCAGATTTCTCGATACATCGATATACGTTTCGAGATTATAAAGTCATTCTTCCTCATAACACGATACAAATTGTTGGTTATAACACTAAATGACACGAATAAAAACACTTCGATACGAAACTCTTTGAATCCTTAAACCTAATCTTATAATACTTCCCATATATCAAAGAAGTATATAGAAGAACTCTTTGAATCGTAAACTTAACCTTATAATACTTCCCATATATTAAAACAATCACATGCGCATAAAATTTGAAGAGAATTATCGATACGAATACAATCTCTATTTCAATTGATAATGCACAGTTTTGAAATTCGAAAATAAAAAAATAACGTTGCGTGGAAATATTTCCATTGAAGATACGGGAACGTTCGAACAGCGACTCGTTATCAATTTCCGTCGCGCATATTTAACGCATATTGCATAACCGCGAGGACGTATAATTTATTAAGAAAAAATTCGTTACTCACCGCCGTTCTTAACGTCCTCCTTCGCTTCATCCCCTACCGACTGAACGCTCTCCTTGCTCGTGTTGCATCCCATTTTCACTTATACCTTGTCCTTTTCTATATCCCTTCTATTCTCCAATTGCAAACGCCCCACCGTTAGTCGCGACACTCGCCCGTATAATTCGCGATTACGATCGACTAAGTGCTTTCCTCGTTAACATCGAGTCGTCGAATAAAAAGGCCAGGTTTGTAAGAAACACTAGAAAAATACCGAATCTCACCGTCGACAATGGGGAGGGGGGAAATCACAGTTTTCAAGAGATTTTCCGAAAATTTCGTTCTCCTCCTGGCCAGAGGTGAACGACACGGCGTGGTACCGGCTCTCGTCAGGACGAAAATACAAACGACTTTGTGGTATTGGGTTGGTTGTATTGGACGTATCGTAAAGTTTTTTATCCTCTGACGCAGTCTGTTCTCGTAACGTTAAAAAAATACGTATTAAAATACTATTGGACTACCGGCGAACACTAAATATGCTAATCTACGGACTTTACCACGAACACAAGTCCCGTCGACGTCGCGAGACGTACTGACACTGGCGACGACCCTGCCCTTGCGTCGCGACTACGCGAGTCGATATATATTCCTTTACATATGTACAAGTATGTATATATACGTGCATCTGCGTGCGCGCACCGACAACAGTGTACACGTTTACGACGGAACGTGGACGAAACCGATCGAAAGCGGTCACACTTTTTCGCGAATCAACAAACAAGTAATTTTCGCTAGTTTCATTATGCATATTACCGTGAAATCGAACGAGCGCCACTCCCAGCCCTCGTATACCATCCGAGAAGAACAGTTTTTGGTAGGTTCGATCGATCTCGTAAGCGGGATACTCCGATGGTCGCTCAGACCGCTGCCAGACAGGCGCCAGCTACTGCATTCTTCTCGTTTTCTGGAACAAATATCGATCTCAACGTTTTGATAATCCTACGCGATGATTCATATTTCACGGACAGGAAGCGTGTTTGTGTTTCGCAGTCGCGTGACTCGTGTTAAGAATTGTGCCAACAATCGACGGTATTTTCAACATTTAAATCTTGATAGAAACGACTTTAGCAAAAAGGAGAGTATGGAGGATAAAGAACGGGGGAGCGATCGATAACATATTTAAAAGAGTATTTATTAAGTATAGACGATGTAATAAACGATAGAATGTTTATCGTGTGCTTGTAGAAAACATGGAACGTATACATATCTGTTAGAATATATATATATCAACGCGTACGAAGGTGGCGCTACCGGTAATGTCCGCAGAGGTCCGTGGATCGTAGCTGTGCTACCTTATTATAAAAGAAAAGAGGTGTATTATATCTGTTACCGTGAATTACCGAAATTGGAGAATGTCAACTTTCACACCGGTGAATGTCAACAGATACCAAATAAGTCGGTGAAAGATCGAATATTTCATTACATTGTTGTACATTCGGACCCTCTCCGGTGTGTGTCGACAATCACAGATATGCTCTGCTGGAGGTCCAAAACAGAAGAGTCAAAAAACAAGCGACTGACTCTCTCCCGCCAAATCCTTCGTTCTGCTCGGAGTCAATCAGCTTTGTCAGTCTTATGCAAGCTTTGATAACGCGAGCAACGTTTTCTTTATTTTTTTCCCGATACCCTAATTTATACTAAATGGATACTGCAGTAAATTGTGATCTTTTTCTAACCCAGACCTAACCCAGACTTAATTCAGACTTATTCCAGACCTAACCCAGACGTAATTCAGACTTATTCCAGACCTAACCCAGACCAATTCATCGCTGATAACGGGGGTTAGGTCTGGGTTAGGTCTAGATTAAGTCTGGGTTAGGTCTGGGTTAGGTCTAGAATAAGTCTGGGTTAGGTCTGGGTTAGGTCTGAATTAAGTCTGGGTTAGGTCTGGGTTAGGTCTGGAATAAATCTGGGTTAGGTCTGGGTTAGGTCTGGGTTAGGTCTGGATTAACTCTGGGTTAGGTCTGGGTTAGGTCTGAATTAAGTCTGGGTTAGGTCTGGGTTAGGTCTGGAATAAATCTGGGTTAGGTCTGGGTTAGGTCTGAATTAAGTCTGGGTTAGGTCTGGATTAAGTCTGGGTTAGGTCTGGATTTATAGATAACCTTATGCCCCCAGGGAATAGATTTATTTTGTTTTAAATAGATTGAACCCAGACCTAACCCAGACCTAACCCAGACCTAACCCAGACTTATTCCAGACCTAACCCTGACTTATTCTAGACCTAACCCAGACCTAACCCAGACTTAATTCAGACCTAACCCAGACCTAACCCAGATTTATTCCAGACCTAACCCAGACCTAACCCAGACTTAATTCAGACCTAACCCAGACCTAACCCAGACTTATTCCAGACCTAACCCAGACCTAACTCAGATCTAATCCAGACCTAACCCAGACCTAACTCAAATCTAATCCAGACCTAACCCAGACCTAACTCAGATCTAATCCAGACCTAACCCAGACCTAACCCAGACCTAACTCAAATCTAATCCAGACCTAACCCAGACCTAACCCAGACCTAACCCCCGTTATCAGCGATGAATTGGTCTGGGTTAGGTCTGGAATAAGTCTGAATTACGTCTGGGTTAGGTCTGGAATAAGTCTGAATTAAGTCTGGGTTAGGTCTGGGTTAGATCCTTTCAGAAAGAGAGGCGAAAAAGTTACGGTCACCCTTGTGACGTTTCATAGCGACCGAATTACGGAGAAGAAAATATAAATCTCCAACATGTTCAACACTCACCATTAGCGCATGGTGAATGTTAACAGTTACCGGTGTAAGTCAGAAATAAGGATGTTTAGCAAATATTTCGGACATACACTAAGCGACTATGTGAACGTTGACATTCACCGGTGAAAGTCGACATTCTCCAGATTTCGGTGTTTCACTGTAACATATCCATAAAATAAAATCTCAGCAACAGACCGTTCCTCAGCATTTATTTTTAACAATTTCACATGTCGGAAGTGCTCCATTTGTAAGCTTCTTCTTGACGAGCCACCATTGCGTTTTGTGTTTCGAACCATCGTTTCTCGTAACCGTTGCTTCTGTCCACCCCGTCCCACAGGTGACCGGGTTTAATACCGAATCGATTTGGCATAAACGATCCCTCGTACGTTGGTCGTTCTTAAAATACAATCATGTATTAATAAAAAATAATAAATTTAAAAAAAAAAATATTTACCTGGTTTTCTCTTTCCTTCTTTGATTTGCTTTTGTTTAATGTATTCCAGCATAGGATCCCCTTCTCTTTCTTGCTCTCTAAGTGTCTTGTCTAAATCAGCATCGTCAGCATACCTTGCTAAGGGCTTACTCATTTCATAAAGATCATCCTTCAATTTTTCTTCACGATCCTCTACTTGTTTCAACCTGAAATAAATACACTTTCACAATTTTCCTTAAATATCCATTTTATTTTACTTACCCTTTTCCCCATTTAGCATACTTCTCGTTCAGTTCCGCTTGTCGCTTTTGTTTTTCGCGCTCTTCAGCTGCTTCCGCTTCTAGGTTACGTTTTCTACCAGTTTTCGTATCTCGTACAATTGTAGCCTGACCAATCCCGGTAACTTCTTTACTCAGCTAAAAATTAATGTAATTTCTCAATTTTTCTTAACATAACCTCGTAAAAAGATAAAAGAAAGTTTTATTATACGTTTTTGAAGTGTTCGGCTTCCCGTTTTTTGTACGCTTCCGTTTCCTCTCTCAATGATCTTGCATCTTGCAGACCCGCGGTCTTTCCATCTAGCGTTTTCTTCATTCGATTTCCCCTATCCCTTTTGTCATGGTTCATTTCTAATCTCTGGCTATTGCTAGCATCTTTCATGGATTTTTCCTTTCTGTAAGAACTTTCTCCGTGCGATTGATGTTTCGAATCATATTCATACTTATTGTTCCATCTGCTCTTGGACTTATTAACCTCTCTATTGTCCTCCTTAGATCTACTTCGACTTCTATCTAATTCCCTATTTTTTCTGCGATATTTTTTCTCTCTGTGCAAAGATGAATCTCTATATTTATGTTGTCTAGGTGGACTTAGGTCTCTTCTCTGCTCAAAATTCGAACTTTTATGCGCTTTACTTTGTTCCATATGTTTCACCTCTCTTCTCGGCGGACTTAAATCCGAATCAGAATCAGAATCTTTTCTTTGCTTCGTAGAATTCAAATTTGAATTTCTTTTATCATGTTCGTGTTTTCTACTCCTCCTTGGTGGACTAAAATCTGAATCGTGATTCTGATTTTTCTTACTTCTCGGTGGACTTAAATCAGAATCAGAATCTTCCCTATTTCTTCTAGGCGGACTCATATCCGAGTCACTTTTACTCTGAACTTTCTTACTTCTCTGAGATCTATGTTTTGTACTCTTTTTAGGCAGACTTGAATCCGAATCATGATTTTTAGGCTGCCTAGGTGGACTCAAGTCAGAATCAATTTCTTTGTCTCTTCTTTTCGCTTTCTTTTTCATTTTACTAGATGGAACATTTACTTCCGAACTGCTGTCGCTATCGCTATTACTCTGAGAAGTCTTACGTTCAGAATTAGCATGCTTTTTAGATTTTCTTCCGGGTGGACTTAAATCATTATTTTCTTCTACATTTCTTTTACTCTGTTTCTTTTTAATGGACTTGTGTGTCCTCGGAGGAGACGAATCATCGTTCAAGCATTTCTTTTGCATTCTCGGCGGAGTTAAATCATCGTCAAGGTTGCGTGCAACTTTTTTGGATCGTTTGCTCTCTTTGTCTTGACTGGTGATAGTTAGATCTCCGTCTTCGTTGTCTGCTACTATTTTCCATCTTCTTTTATCTCCGAAATCAACCGGGCCACGTTCATCGACTATACCAGCAATTTGAGGCGCGTCTTCGGCAGTGATGTAAATATCAAACTGACTCTCGTCGATCGGTCTCATATTCTTCAGGTCTATGTCATCGTCAATGATTTTTACTCTGAAAAACACATCTAAAAATTTGTCTGAAGAAAGGGAGAATCTTCGTTACGTAATTTACTATTTTTCAAAAAGTTGTTCAAATTGTTAATTTTAGAATTTGCTTCGAAATCACGGTTATATTCCCTTTCTCGTTTATCTTCCGTACAACTATATCACAGAATCACAGAATGAAGTAAAATGTTTCGTTTTGCAATTCATCGTACAATAATGTGCGAAACAATCATTATAACCTAAAACACAAGGGCGTCCTGTTGAAACTGTCCACGGACAGTATGATGTTTGAAAATTGTGACTTACGTTTTCACTCCCACTCTCAGCTTTTTCTTTTTCTTCTTTTTCTTGTCGCTGCCATCTCCCGAAGATAAATACTTCTTCAAATATTCTTTTTGATTCACTACGACCTTCTCCATTTGCACGTTACTGCGGCTACTGACGCGCAACTACGTAGCCATTGAATATTTCGTACCGCGCATGCGCGGGGGCCATTCGAATACTGCGCGCGAGGATAATCGAAATGTGTTACAATTTATGATTTTTAATCGTTCAGTTTGGAGTATTGGAGGGGGTGGTGGTTATCAATATGGATCCATGAACATTATAACGAGCATTAATCGTCAAAATCTCATGAATGTAACAATATTCGCTTTAATGCGCGTGCATTGTACAGGGCGGAAAGTACTAGCTAGTTTTCATCGAACGACCTTATCAATAGAGTGCATCTGGGCTCGAGATACGAGGAACAATTCAGTATGCACCGTGTCACGCGAACCTTATCAATTTTATTCATCGAACCATGTGCACAATAGGGTTCGGAACTATTCGAATACTTTGATCGTAGACAAAGTATACATGTATCAGTGTTTTTCGTTAATAATTCAAAAACGAAGAACTATTCGACATTTTTGCGAAGGAAATTGTTGTTTAGGATTGTCTCAGCTACCCCCCATTTCCGGTTCTTACACTATTTACGGGATTTTTATAGGATAAAAGGTAAATTTAATATTTTCAAATCAGATCAGGTATTGATATGGAGGAAACGTTTGTGAATTCTTGAGAATCCTCGTTTGAGATATTATTTATTAATAGAGATTGTTTAAATGGGTTGATTTTTATGGAGAAATTCGACACTTTTATTCTTCATTGAAATTTGATTTTAAAGTTTACGTATCTCTTTCTGGAAAATAATGATATTGTTTTGTGTTGTATGAATCTTGCACAGGAAGGTACACACGTTGTTTTAGAATAAAAAAAATTGATTAAAATTTATTAGAATTGAAAATACAGGTAATCAAAAGGAGCCAATTTTAGTATGGAGTTATTGGTAAGTTTTTGGAATAGAAATTAGATTGGTATGTGTAGAACTATGTTTAGATTTCCAAGCTTTGTTATTAGAACACAAAAAAAATAGTGTTCTAAAACAAAAGTTGAAAAATTGAATTTCAGACACACGGACTGGGTTAGGTCTGGGTTAGGTCTGAATTAAGTCTGGGTTAGGTCTGGGTTAGGTCTGGAATAAGTCTGGGTTGGGTCTGGGTTAGGTCTGCAATAAGTCTGGGTTAGGTCTGGGTTAGGTCTGGGTTAGGTCTGAATTAAGTCTGGGTTAGGTCTGGGTTAGGTCTGGATTAGATCTAGATTAGGTCTGGGTTAGGTCTGGGTTAGGTCTGGATTAGGTCTGGGTTAGGTCTGGGTTAGATCTGGAATAAGTCTGGGTTAGGTCTGGGTTAGGTCTGGAATAAGTCTGGGTTAGGTCTGGGTTAGGTCTAGAATAAGTCTGGGTTAGGTCTGGGTTAGGTCTGGGTTAGGTCTGGAATAAGTCTGGGTTAGGTCTGGGTTAGGTCTGAATTAAGTCTGGGTTAGGTCTGGGTTAGGTCTGGATTAGGCCTGGGTTAGGTCTGGGTTCAATCTATTTAAAACAAGATAAATCTATTCCCTGGGGGAATAAGGTTATCTATAAATCCAGACCTAACCCAGACCTAACCCAGACCTAATCCAGACCTAACCCAGATCTAACCCAGATCTAATCCAGACCTAACCCAGACTTAATCCAGACCTAACCCAGACCTAACCCAGACCTAATCTAGACCTAATCCAGACCTAACCCAGACCTAACCCAGATCTAATCCAGACCTAACCCAGACCTAACCCAGACTTAATTCAGACCTAACCCAGACCTAACCCAGATCTAATCCAGACCTAATCCAGACCTAACCCAGATCTAATCCAGACCTAACCCAGACCTAACCCAGATCTAACCCAGACCTAACCCAGACCTAACCCAGACCTAATCTAGATCTAATCCAGACCTAACCCAGACCTAACCCAGACCTAATCCAGACCTAACCCAGACCTAATCTAGACCTAACCCAGACCTAACCCAGACCTAACCCAAACCTAACCCAGACCTAACCCCCGTTATCAGCGATGAATTGGTCTGGGTTAGGTCTGGAATAAGTCTGAATTAAGTCTGGGTTAGGTCTGGGTTAGGTCTGACTTTATTTTAGAATAAAAACAATCGATAAAAATTCATTATAATTGCAAATACAGGTAATCAGAAGGAACCAATTTTAGTATGCAGTTATCGTAAGTTTTTGAAATAGAAATCAGATTGATACGTATAGAACTATGTTTAGATTTCGAAGCTTTATCATTAGTTCACAAAAAAGAATCGAACAAAAGTTGAAAAATTGAATTTTGGCCACGAATCATCGTTTTCTAGCCCACTGTGCCTTGTGAAAATATTCAAACGTAGAAAAAATCGCGAAATAGTCGCACAACCTAAGCGTACAGTCCCCAACGCGACCAAGTCAGGATCTAATCGAGACTGTGTGCACGAGAAACTGGAAGTGGTTCTCGATTGGTCGAGAGAGGAAAGCAGGTAAGCACACCAGGTTGGAGGTGGAAACGCGAAGGTAGGGGAGCGAAAGTGAACACAGCTCCAAGAATGGGCAGGAAGAGAACTCCTTTAGCCCGCGGCTGAAACTTTGATAATAACTTAAAACGCGTCGTTATCGTGTCTTTGTTCGCGTTTTCTCCCGTGTTTCGATCGATCGATGATCGAGAATCGTCCGGTGAAGTGATAGTGGCCAGCATAGCGATCGCTCGATGATGAGATTCCCGCTTACTTCGCGAAGAGAGAAACGTTGCGTGTGCAAGGTTATGGGCGTGCTATCCTACGTGTACCAGTGATTCTCACTTGACATGTGTGTGCACCACTCGATGGAAAAAATTTCGTGACCGCGTATTCGACTCGGTGCATAATCAGTTACCGCGACGCCGTACCGACGTGATCGTCGTCGCTGTTGGCGGAACCATGACGCGAAAGTTGAGCAAGTTTCTGATACTTTTCGACAACACGAACCTCCTCTACTTTCCCGGCCACTTTCTGTCCGGACGTGTGCTGATCGAGCTGGACGACGAGGCTTAGTAAGTACGCGACAAGTGCGAAATTCATCACACGAGATCCGTCTTTCGCCCTCCAGCTCTAGGGAAACTCTTTGACCAACGAAATCTTGGTCTAAGATTGTTTAGATTCGTTTGGTTCGATTGGGGAACGATTTCTGCAAAAGGGAAAGTCGATCGAGAGATAGCAAATGGGGCCACGATTGGAATTTGGAAATTTCTGCGGTTTTATTGGAGTTGTGTACCTAAAACGTAGTTAATCTTCGAGTTCTGAGCCAATTCTTCGATGGAGCTTTTAAAATAGAGTTTGTAATCCTATTTGAAGCTGAAAGAGTGCCACCATTGTCGTAGAATTTGGAAATTTCAGTGTTTTTACTAAAGTCACACCTATAATCCTATTTGTCTACCTTCCTGAATTTTTTTCTCGAAAATACGTAGGATTTTGGGGGTACGTCTATTCACCAAAAATGATTCTAATTAACCCCTGCAACTAAGTATAATTTTTTTACAACGATTTGAAACTTTTCAATTTCGTCGAAAAATTTGTCTACATTCCTGAATTTTTTTCTCGAAAATGCGTAGGATTTTGGGAATATGTCTGTTCACCAAAAATGATTGTAATTGACCCCTCCAACTATGTATAATTTTTTTAGAACGATTTGGAATTTTTTAATTTTGTCGAAAAATTTCATACATTCTCGAATTTTTTTCTCGAAAATCCGTACGATTTCGTGAGTATGTATAATGACAAAAACTGACTATAATCGAGCCCTGCAACTGACAATAATTTTTCCGGAACGATTTGAAATTTTTTAATTTCGTCGAAAAATTTGTCTACCTTCCTGAATTTTTTTCTCGAAAATGCGTAGGATTTCGAGGGTATGTCTATTCACCAAAAATGATTGTAAGTGGCCCCTCCAACTAAGTATAATTTTTTTAGAACGATTTGAAAATTTTTTTTTCGTCGATAGATTTAGGCTGTCGATTTTTCTTGAATATTCGTTTTTCATTTTTAATAAATTTGATTGCCGCTGTACAGAAAAGTTGTTTAATACTTTTTTGTATGTATTCATGAACTCTAGTTCCCCTAAAAATTTCAATGAAATATATTCACTATTGTGGGAGTTATGGCTGTTTGAAAATTGGACCATTTTTATGGGGTTTTCCTTATTTTGCGGAGTGAAGGAATCACTTTTCGAATATTTTTGCAATTTCTACATATTATTCATCTAAACACGCGTTGTTTGAATTTTGAAACATTAAAATCGTCCAATCCGTTCAGGAGTTATGAAATTTTAAAGATTCGCATGAAATTTCAGGGTACCATTTATTTATTTTTCAGTAAGGAATTTTTTTCTAGAAAGTGAGTAGGAATTCGAGGGTGTGTGTAATAACCAAAAATGATTATAATTGACCCCCACAACCAAAAATAATTTTTTCAGAACAATTAGAAATTTTTTAATTTTGTCGACAAAGACCACCTTCTCGAATTTTTTTCTCGAAAATGCATAGGATTTCGAGGGTATGCCTATTCACCAAAAATAATTGTAATTCGCCCCTGCAAACAAAAATAATTTTTTCAGAACGATTTGAAATTTTTTAATTTTGTCAACAAAGTCCACCTTCTCGAATTTTTTTCTCGAAATTGCATAGGATTTCGAGGGTATGCCTATTCACCAAAAATAATTGTAATTCGCCCCTGCAACCAAAAATAATTTTTTTAGAACAATTTTACATTTTTTAATTTAATTTTTTAATTTAATTTTTTAATAACTTTTTAAAGAAGCCTCCTATTTTGGCCTCTAAAATCTCCCGTATATAGAAGTTTAGAAATTCTATACATATATAGAAAATCTGTATTCTTTTCCATAATTGAAATTTGATTTTTCTTTTAATAAACAACGAATTATTTATGGTTTATTCGTTATTTTTGTATTTAAATTAAAAGGTTGAGGAATTAAAACACGATTATAGAACGAATGATAAAGAATTACTTAATTAATATTGAACATCAAAAGTATTAATAGCAAACATTGATCATTTATGACTTTTAAGTATTTTACGTCACATGTTTACGTGATATTTTACGTTTATGATAAACTGCTATTAAAAATGTATTTACTATTGTCTGATACAACGCACTGATAGTATATTTTCGCTCTGAAAAAATTAATTAGTCGTGCTCCATGAAATAGTAAGCGTAATAATAGTAATAAAATACGCTAACGTCTTTGAGCTTTTTCCGCCATGTAATTACGTCAATTAACACACTTCTGAACGTTAATGCAAGGTAATAAACTCCAGCGTGTTATAATCATTTACCACCTTTTAATTAACATCAGAAATCCGTCCATTGCCATTCAATGCAAACTATTGTCCCTTTATTCTATTTAATTCACGCTTTAAATTGATGTGCAATTGAATTTCTCGCGAATTATACAGGGTGGTCCACTATTTGAGTATCTTCTTCGATAAAGACATTTTTTGAAAATATCTCGAGATCCAATGATTTTTTCGCCATGGTACCCTAATCATTTTTTACGCAGAATGAACAAAAGAATCGATCTGTGTAATAAAAAATATGCATTTCTATTTAAAGAAATTATGCGATTGTTAATTGCACATGCACCGCTGCATCTAAAAAAAATTTAAATGCCTACGGATGTAGTGCTCTTCGAACCATTTACCTTTGCTCCCTTGGCATTTTTTCGGAAATGCAATAATAACGGAGTTGTGACTTGTAACAATTGCCTGGATCACCCTGTATACATATACTTCTTCGATAAAGACATTTTTTGAAAATATCTCGAGATCCAATGATTTTTTCGCCATGGTACCCTAATCATTTTTTACGCAGAATGAACAAAAGAATCGATCTGTGTAATAAAAAATATGCATTTCTATTTAAAGAAATTATGCGATTGTTAATTGCACATGCACCGCTGCATCTAAAAAAAATTTAAATGCCTACGGATGTAGTGCTCTTCGAACCATTTACCTTTGCTCCCTTGGCATTTTTTCGGAAATGCAATAATAACGGAGTTGTGACTTGTAACAATTGCCTGGATCACCCTGTATACATATACTTCTTCGATAAAGACATTTTTTGAAAATATCTCGAGATCCAATGATTTTTTCGCCATGGTACCCTAATCATTTTTTACGCAGAATGAACAAAAGAATCGATCTGTGTAATAAAAAATATGCATTTCTATTTAAAGAAATTATGCGATTGTTAATTGCACATGCACCGCTGCATCTAAAAAAAATTTAAATGCCTACGGATGTAGTGCTCTTCGAACCATTTACCTTTGCTCCCTTGGCATTTTTTCGGAAATGCAATAATAACGGAGTTGTGACTTGTAACAATTGCCTGGATCACCCTGTATACATATACTTCTTCGATAAAGACATTTTTTGAAAATATCTCGAGATCCAATGATTTTTTCGCCATGGTACCCTAATCATTTTTTACGCAGAATGAACAAAAGAATCGATCTGTGTAATAAAAAATATGCATTTCTATTTAAAGAAATTATGCGATTGTTAATTGCACATGCACCGCTGCATCTAAAAAAAATTTAAATGCCTACGGATGTAGTGCTCTTCGAACCATTTACCTTTGCTCCCTTGGCATTTTTTCGGAAATGCAATAATAACGGAGTTGTGACTTGTAACAATTGCCTGGATCACCCTGTATACATATACTTCTTCGATAAAGACATTTTTTGAAAATATCTCGAGATCCAATGATTTTTTCGCCATGGTACCCTAATCATTTTTTACGCAGAATGAACAAAAGAATCGATCTGTGTAATAAAAAATATGCATTTCTATTTAAAGAAATTATGCGATTGTTAATTGCACATGCACCGCTGCATCTAAAAAAAATTTAAATGCCTACGGATGTAGTGCTCTTCGAACCATTTACCTTTGCTCCCTTGGCATTTTTTCGGAAATGCAATAATAACGGAGTTATGACTTGTAACAATTGCCTGGATCACCCTGTATACATATACTTCTTCGATAAAGACATTTTTTGAAAATATCTCGAGATCCAATGATTTTTTCGCCAAGGTACCCTAATCATTTTTTACGCAGAATGAACAAAAGAATCGATCTGTGTAAAAAAAAATATGCATTTCTATTTAAAGAAATTATGCGATTGTTAATTGCACATGCACCGCTGCATCTAAAAAAAATTTAAATGCCTACGGATGTAGTGCTCCTCGAACCATTTACCTTTGCTCCCTTGGCATTTTTTCGGAAATGCAATAATAACGGAGTTATGACTTGTAACAATTGCCTGGATCACCCTGTATAATATTAAGCAACTCATACGTTGTTTCTTTCATGATACGTTTCGTGTGTCGCAGCGTTTCAGGATTGCATTTTCACGTAATCGGCGAAGGAGTGGTCCGCGTACGTAGTCAACGCGCAGAGAGGGTCTACGACAAGGAAAACTACATAGATTTTCGCATGAGATTACTGGGGGAACCAGGTAATGAAAAGAAATTTCATTGCAGTACGTTTAACGTAATCGTTCTGCAATTAATTCCTCTATCACGTGTATATCAAACTCGAAATCAAAATATCTCGAAAACGAAGAAACCTATTAGAGTGTTCGGTAACCCCTGGAAAAAATTGCATTGGGAGATTCTGGGGCCCAAAATAAGACGAAAATGAAGAATACCAATTTCTTAATTAAGGCTTCGTTAAGAAGTTATTAACGTCTAAAGTTGGAGCGACGAACTGCGCACAGCTGCGCGCGCACGACAGTGGTTCTCACTCGGCACGAGGAACTCCGCACACTTTAAACGTTAATAACTTCTTAACGAAGCCTCAATCAAGAAATTGGTATTCTTCATTTTCGTCTTATTTTGGGCCCTAGAATCTCCCATTAAAATTTTTCCCAGGGTTGGTTGAACAGTGTTCTCAAAACTGTTCTTCCTCGTTCTCTGTTTATCGTTCGACGACACCGCCACTCAGGAGAAGGACCGTCGCTGCTTTCGCCGGGGATCCACAGCTTTCCATTCAAATTGGGCCTGCCCCTGGGCCTGCCGTCCACTTTCCTGGGCAAACATGGTTGGGTGCAGTATTATTGCAAGGCTGCGCTTCGTGAACCCGGCGGACTGACGCACAAGAATCAGCAGGTCTTCATCGTGATGAACCCCATCGATCTGAACTTGGAGCCGCCGATCCTCGCGGTGAGTTCACCTGAATTATGGATGATATCGCGTTTCATATTTATACGCGCCTTTATTACGAAGCGATGGGCGTTTCGATAAAGACTGTTCGGGAAAGTTTCTATGCTTTGGCATGGCTATAACAATGGCCACGCATATTTAGGGTAGAAACTTGATTTTATTTCTTTAACTGGCTTGTTTTTTCTTTAAAAGCGTCGATCTATCGATCATTGATCTACAGGGGGTCCTGGCTATTCATGGGAAAAATTTTAATGGGAGATTCTGGGGGCCAAAATAAGACGAAAAGCAAGAATATTAATTTGTTGATAGAGGCTTCTTTAAAAAGTTATTAATGTTTAAAGTTCCGCCAGTTTTCAATTTTTTTCTCGAAAATGCGCAGGATTTTGGGGGTATGTCTAATGACCAAAAATAATTGTAATTGACCCCTGCAATCGAAAATAATTTTTCAAGAACGATTTGAAATATTTAATTTTTTTGAAAAAGTTAGGCACCTTCTCGAATTTTTTTCTCGAAAGCGAGTAGGATTTCGAGGGTATGTCTAATGACCAAAAATAATTGTAATTGACCCCTGCAATCGAAAATAATTTTTCCAGAACGATTTGAAATATTTAATTTTTTTGAAAAAGTTAGGCACCTTCTCGAATTTTTTTCTCGAAAGTGGGTAGGATTTTGGGTGTATGTCTAATGACCAAAAATTATTGTAATTAACCCCTGTAGCCAAAAATATTTTTTTTAGAACGATTTGAAATTTTTTAATTTCATCGAAATATTTCACACCTTCTCGAATTTTTTTCTCGAAAGTGGGTAGGATTTCGAGGGTATGTCTATTCACCAAAAATAATTGTAATTGACCCCTGCAATAGAAAATAATTTTTCCAGAACGATTTGAAATAATTTTTTTCACCGTAAAATTACCTCGTCGATTTTTCTTAGAAATTCGTTTTTAATTTTTAATCAATTTGTTTGTCGTTGTACAGAAAAGTTGTTTAATACTTTTTTGTATGTATCCATGAACTCTAGTGCCCCCCAAAATTTCAATGAAATATATTCACTATTGTGGGAGTTATGGCGTACAAATTGCAAAAGATTTCGCTTTAAGATCATTTCTGCGAGATTTTAAGGAAGTTGCATCTGTTTACATATAGTAAGGCGTGGACCGTGGGCGACGCGTTCCCGTTTTGGAATACAGAGGAGATACATTCGCATAACACGATAACGTGTAATATAAGATAATTGTTACGTAGGCACGTGACATTCAGCACCGATCGCGACCGCATTGTTTATTCAACTGTACAGTCACATTCGTTGCACACGCCTTGCGTTGCATAATCGGCATGCATCCAACTGATATCCGATGTATCGATCTCTAATTCAGTATTAGAAACAAATGAAACTCCAAGTGCAACAGAATACAAAACATATATATCGTACACGAGAATTTCATTAAAGTTCCATCGTTAAGTACAGTGGCGCCCTCATTATGCGAATGTTCTCTCAAAAAATGAAATAGAAGAGAAATTGACTTTTTTTTAAGTCTCACTTGAGACTACCCCCTCAATTTAATATTATTTTTATCAAATGAGAGACTACTCACTTAATTTAATAGTATTTTTATTAAATGAGGGACTACCCCCTTAATTTAATATTATTTTCATTAAATAAGAGACTACCCCCTCAATTTAATATTATTTTTAATAAGTGAGCGATCTTATGTTGTTTTCCAGGCCATGAGGCGACTTGTAATATTCCATAATCTATGATATTGTTACTTTAATGAGTTTTGTTATAATAATTTGGTATAAAAACTCTATTTTGGTGTTTTTTGGTCCCATTGGGGACTTGAACCCGGATTAACTGGGTGGGAGTCCGAGTGCCTAACCACTGGGCCATCGGCCTCTATCATAATTTGGTATAAATAAACTTTATACATGTGTTCATTCATAACTTCTAATACCCCCTTAATTCAATATTATTTTTATTAAATAAGAGACTATCCCCTTAATTTAATAAAAATATTAAAATTCAGGTGGCGCAGGTATTTTTAAATAAATTATTTAACAGCAACCAGCAAGGCAAGAAATCGAGCAACGAGTCGGTGTTTCTTGCGTCTCCGGGGGGCCCGTTTTCTGCAGGGTGAGTCTCGATCGTGGCGGATACGTGCCAGGTGAAACTATTGGCATTTCAGCGACCGTCAGCAATCGAAGCAAGGTAAGTATCGCGTTTCGACTCCACTGGTTAACCAAAAGAATGTCTGCCGTTGAAATCGGGGTCGGTATAACACGATACTGTCAACGTGTACGCATTCTTTCGATTCAAATTGAAAGGGAGAGCGCAATTGTCTGATGGAAGCATTCTTTTAACACTTTGATTCCCACATCGCCTATATGTTATTTAATTAATTAGGTTTCAAGTTGAAATTTATATTAGACTTTCGTTTGAGATAAATGCAAGTTAATTTTTGATAAAATTTGAATCAAAAGCAATTAAATATTGAATTATTAAAGAAATTTTAACAGAATTACTACAAGTCGCTAATAGTCAGCAATTGAAGCGACTGGAAATATAAAATTTCAGCCTAATCATTCTAAACAACTCAATATATGTATAGTCTGCGCTAGAATGGGCCCAAAATTCATATTCTTCATATTTCTTTGGACCTCAAACATAGACAGATCCATAATCAACCTTCGAAGTCATCTTTCTTTTATTCCCAACACCTGTTATAGTGAAATTCATACTAATTAAGAATCTCACAGGTTTTTCTCATTTTCAATAGACAAATGTTGATCATGGTCACCATGGAAGGACCTTTTTACAAGGAAAAAATGTAAAAATGTTAGTCAATCGCATACAAAAAAATTTAAAGCGATAAAAGAGTCATTAAACACAGGAATATAGAATTATTAAATAAATTTCAACAAAATTACAAGTCGCTGATAACCAGCAGCAATCGAAGTGACTGGAAATATAAAATTTCAGCCTAATCGTCCCAAACAACTACAAAATTCATATTCTTTATATTTCTTTGGGCCCCAAAAATAGAAAGATCCATAATTAACCTTCAAAGTCATCTTTCTTTTATTCCCAACACCTGTTATAGTGAAATTCATACTAATTAAGAATCTCACAGGTTTTTCTCATATTCAATAAACAAGTGTCTATCATGGACACCATGGTGGGACCTTTTTACAAGGAAAAAATTAGAAAATGTTAGCCAATCGCATGTAAATAAACCATATAAATTACCATAGAGAATTCAAGAGGTATTTCTGTGTAAAAATTGAAAAAGGAAGGAACTGACGAAGACTCCTTTGATATTTATTAGCTTTCATAGCTAATATTCTTGCACCACGCATAAGACCGACTGAAATGATTCAACAGGTGACGATGAAATCGACTAAAGCGTCCTTGACCGAAACAATTCAGTACCTGTGTTCTTTCTTTCATTCCAACACCTGGTATAGTGAAATTCATACTAATTAAGAATCTCACAGGTTTTTCTCATATTCAATAAACAAGTGTCTATCATGGACACCATGGTGGGACCTTTTTACAAGGAAAAAATTAGAAAATGTTAGCCAATCGCATGTAAATAAACCATATAAATTACCATAGAGAATTCAAGAGGTATTTCTGTGTAAAAATTGAAAAAGAAAGGAACTGACGTAGACTCCTTTGATATTTATTAGTTTTCGTAGCTAATATTCTTGCACCACGCATAAGACCGACTGAAATGATTCAACAGGTGACGATGAAATCGACTAAAGCGTCCTTGACCGAAACAATTCAGTACCTGTGTCGTGGTAAAGTGCTCGCGAGCGAGACACGAGAGTTGGCGAGCGTTTCCAGAGGGAAAATCCGTCCTGGGGAAGGCGAGGAGTGGCTGAACGAGCAAATGTACGTTCCGCCATTGCCACCCACCAATCTGCGAGGCTGCCACCTCATCAACGTTCTTTATCACGTTTACGTGAGTAAAAGTCGCATTTAAAGCGTTTGTAACGTAGCATAATCGCGTCACTCTCTCCTTGAGGTTTCTTTCTCATCTCTTAATTACGAGACTAGCATTCCGTTAATATTTACATTCGAGAAAGCGTTATTCTCACTGAGAACGGACTTTCCAACGACTTCACCAATTATTCTTAAATCGTACATTTTTATTTTTAGGTCATAAGTAAGAAAATTAACGAATTTTTGAGTTATCAGGGCCCCTTTGTCTAAATATCTATATTTTATTTTTTTACAGTTTGTAATAAGTCCAAAGAGCTTGGACAAAGAGATCAAGCTGCAAATACCAATTGTCCTGGCCACGTACCCTCTGAGACAGGAGGGTGCCCCGGCAGGGACCGCCCCATCGAAAAGGGGGGCACATTATCCGTCAACGTTGCCAATATTTCGGCCATGGTTGGATGACAAAGCTTTCGAGATTCAAGAGTGAAAGTTTAACTCACTTTCTCGATGAAAATCGCCTCAAAGTTACACGCAATAACCGTGCAAAAAATAAATAAAAAAACAATTCTGACCCTTTACCGACACTTTTGGTCGGTAAAACAGTCGATTAATACGCTATCGGTCGGTAATGTGTTGATACGCTTATTACAATGCTTGTTTTGCACTAAACAAACGTATTTATATCGTACTTATCCAAAGACAAAACGACAATTAAATTTAAAAAAAAAAATTTCCCCATCGAGCACAGAAAATGTAAAAATTTTCTTTTAGAAAAAAAAAAAAGCATTTTTTCAGTGATTAAAAATGAAGTAATCCAAAACTCGATGTTTTGTAAATGTTACAATTACGAACTAATAACCATTACCGTTTAGTAGAGTATATTGTATATCTTCTACTGTACATTCAATAGTTCGAATTAATGCTATTACTAAGAAGCCACTTTTACAACGCCGACAAATGTATAAAGACACAATTTCATTGTATAAATTAATGTTATGTTTATATCGCCATATTTATGTACAGTAAATATGACTCATTCGAGAGTGAAACATTTTTCTACATATAAATATATAAGATATGACAATAAAAGATTAAAACGCGTTAATAAATCGAGCTATTCTCAAGTTCCCATTTCTCCTTTCAATTTTTCCAGAACCTTCTCTACCGTGGTACCAGACACTAGCACAACTTTCTGTCTGCTTTTGGATCCCTACAAAAGATTATTGATAAAAAAATGGAAGAGATTAGATTCGATCTTAAAACAATATCAAACTAACTCTGTCTAACGATACGTCGGACTTTCTCATCCCTAATACGGATGCTAAATACTTCACGAGTTCCGTATTTGCTTCGCCTTCGACCGGAGGTGCGGAAATTGCAACGCCCACTGCATCCTCAGAAATATCTACGCAAAATTCATTTTCAAGAATCTAAATTCTTAATTTTCTAATCTAATTCGGTATATTAGAAGATTACCAGTTATATTGTTATGTTTTGCTCCGGGCTTTGCTTGGATTTTTATAGTAACATCGCCATTTTTATCTAGACCTATCGGTCCCTTAATTTCCTGCGAAAATTCATCTACTTTTAAAGAAAACATTAACCTACGATAATAAATTTAAATATTGCCTGTTTCTCGGATTATTGCGTGTAATTTTCACGCATTTTTTGCATTTTTTACCCAAAAAAGCTATATTCGAAAAAGTGTCTAGTGAGTTGCAAATATAATGTTGCCATTCCTGTATTCGCAAGCGACATCTAGTGGCATTAAAAACAAGTTGGAGGTATATCGGAGAAAATGTCATGTTATTTTCTTAAAAGGTGATCGAATCCCGATCACGCTTAAAATTCTAATCCCCGCACTCGCGACCGGTAAGTTACGTTCTAAATAATTACTCACTTCTTTCACCGCTACTTTTTGTGCCTTTCCAGCTTTCCTCGATCCCTGTTTCGACATTCCTCGACTATTCGTTAAATGCTGCAAAACCTTTTCGCGTACGCATATAGTTCCACAATACCACGTCATTTATCCTCTACCGATCACTTTCACCATATTTATGGTTTTAATGCCTTTCAATGAAATGTATTACGATGATAATTTAACCTCAACCAGCCAACCGACATGTCTGCGCACGTGTAGCAGTGCTGCCAACGTAATTCTAGTGACATTCTTGTTCCCGCGCAAATTTGAATCGATCGACTGACAATACGTTATAAACATGATAATTATAAGAAATATTGTTGCAAATAACTTTGTAATTTATATAATAATTATGATAAAATTTAGATCGAGATGCCCAAGAAATTTGTTGGCGAAAACAGCAAAGCTGTCGCTGCCAGGGCGAGAAAAGCAGCAGCGAAGGAAGCGGAAAGTACAAGAAAAGCTTTGGAAGCTGAGGAAAAGGCCTGGCAAGATGACGATAAACAAGTGCTGAAGAAAAAGCAAAAACAGGTGTGCATTGATATTTCTCTTTATTTAGATCCAACTGTTATTTCAATTTTATCAATTTCGTTGCAATTTACAGGAGGAACTGGAGAAGAAACGACAACAACAACTAGAAAAGAAAGCAGAAGTAAAAGCTATGCTGGAGAAGGAAATGGCGACTATAAAAGTGGGTGGCAAGCAGCCTGCGTCGAAACTTACAAGAGCAGAGATTGTGGTTGCAACGGAGAAGCGAAACCTGGTTGCACTGAATAAGAAAGACGAAGAGAAACCGTTGGAAGAGAATTTGAACAGACTAACGATTGAGGGGGAAACTGCACACGGTATAGACGAAGCTCTATCTGTTTTAAGGTGAGAGAAATTAAATTACCTTCAACCGAGAAAAGATAAAGACTTTGTAATAAATCATTTAATGTTTCTTTATTTAGTACGAAGGATCCTGAAATGGATCGTCACCCAGAGAAGCGTGTGAAAGCAGCGTATGCCAGTTTCGAGGAGAGGATGATGCCTATCATTAAGGAACAGAATCCGACGCTAAGGTTAAGTCAATTAAAACAAATATTGAAAAAGGAATGGATGAAATCTACGGAGAACCCACTCAATCAAAAGTTACTATTGAACCGTTGATATTAAAAACTGGACGGAAACGCAAACTCATTGAACGACAGGAGTGAAACGAGACTTATAAATCTAATCATGGAGAATCATCTGTACACAGTTTTTATTGTAAACGAATAAGTTATACTCTACTAAAATACATAAAATAACATTGTATAAATCATCTTTGGTATAACTTATACGCTACTACATAGCCTCAACGTATCTTACAACATGATTCGCAAACAAACAAGTTTGCGTAAACTCAAACATCTCCAACGATCGTGTACATGTTTTGGCACAGTTATCATGCAGACTTATACGATTTCTTAACAAATACAAACGTCCGTTCTAGTTTCTCGCTACACAGCACTAAAAAGTTGGTAAAAAAAAAAGTTGATTATAAAAAGTCGGGTTACGTAATTACAGTTGTATAAAACAGTATCTATACAAATGAATTCTCACCGATGGAATCTAGGTTATGTACAATAGATTCTAACCTTTAAAATTAACCAGAAGGCACCATGTTTCTGTTTTTCTCGAGAATGTACACTGAGTCGAATATACCCGTACGAAGAACTTGATTTAAATGTAATCTTATTGTGTAATAACGTACGTATGTTACCGCTACCATTTCTTGTTTTTCCACAAGTCTATAAAACAGTGTATCATGTGATTCACTTGCTCCGGGCAATCAGTCATTGGCGTATGGCCGGCAGCTGGGATCGCTTCCAGGAAAGCTTTCAACATTGTCTGAAAAATTAAATACGACAGCAATGATCAATACTAAAAGTAAAGCAAAAATCATTGCAAAACTCCCTAAATTCGTTCTAAGAAACTTTACATTTCAAATGACCTTCTACGATTACGAATAACTTCAAAAACAGTTGCAGTATAGAGGTTTACGCCGTAACATTTACTTTTGTGGTTTTGAGTAATTGTCTATACTGATTTTTATGAAACTTTACACACGGATGGAGCATTTAGAAATATTGAACACGTATTAAGCTGATATTCATGTTCGAGGGATGAACGCTATAAAATTGTGTGTAAAAGTTGAACGTCTCGAAAGCTAACGAAGACAATAGAAAATTCTGATTTTAATGAACCATTAAACCATTGATAAATCATTTGGCGCCACTGTAGTCGATCAGATACTTGGAAAAAGAAGGAAATTTTTAGCGAGATCATGTAATTGTCCAAAGATCAAACTTTTTGTTATTAATATTGAATATTTCAGTGTTTTTTACTTCCCATTACTTTTTGAGATGTTTAACCAAATAAATATAACACCCACGCATTTTAAAAATAACACGTTTAATATATTTGAATGCTCTATTTGTCAGCTAATGAGAGATTATTAAATGGGTGATATTATTTGTAAGATTTAATATATTTCGGAATAAGCACGTTCGAATGATTTTATAATCGAAAATTATCCAAAATACTGAATATATGTATGTGTTTAAGTGCACAAAAAAAAAAAAAATGGCGACGAGTAACGTGACATATTCTATTTTATTGCGATCGAATCACCGACATTTAATTGTATTTTGTATTCATTCGTGCTGTCGGCTATTAAATACTCTTGTAACTTGTATTCGATGCATTGTCGAAAGTCGCGAAAATTTTTTTTGCGCTGCTTTAATAAAAAAACAGAAATTGTAGAGTAAATTTTTCTCCGATAATTCCTGTGGAATCCAATACTATTAGTATTTGGTGCAGCGTCCATTTTCTTTATAACAGGGTGTTCCGGTTGCCCTGGGAAAAATTTTAATGGGAGATTCTAGAGGCCAAAATAAGAGGAAAATCAAGAATAGTAATTTGTTGATTGAGACTTCGTTAAAAAGTTATTAACGTTTGAAGTTCTACTTGTTTTGAATTTTTTTCTACAAAATGGGAAGGTTTTCGGGGGTAGGTCTATTCACCAAAAATGATTGTAATTGACCCCTACATCTATGTATAATTTTTTTAGAAGGATTTGAAATTTTTTAATTTTTTTTTTAAATTTCACATCTTCTCCAATTTTTTTCTCGAAAATGCGTAGGATTTCGGGGGTATGTGTATTCACCAAAAATGATTGAAATGGACCCCTGCAATTAAAAATATTTTTTCTAGAACGATTTGAAATTATCTAATTTTGTCGAAAAGTTTCTAATTTTCTAGAATTTTTTTCTGGAAACTGCGTAGGATTTCAAGAGTATGTCTATTCACCAAAAATAATTGAATTTCAGCTCCCTAGCTAAAAATAATTTTTTTTAGAACGATTTGAAATTTTTATTTTTTGCCGAAATATTGCCCTGTCGATATTTCTTAAAAAACTGTTTTTTATTTTTAGTAATTTTGTTTGACGCCCCACAGAAAAGTTGTCTAATACTTTTTTGTAGGTACCCACGAGCTCTGCGTCAGAAAAAAGTTTCATTGAAATATATTCCCTATTGTAGGAATTATGGCTGTTTGAAAATTGGACCGTTTTTATGGGGTTTTCGTCATTTTGCGTGGTCAAGGATCAACTTTTCGAATATTTTTACGATTTCTACATATTCTTGATTAAAATACACGTCGTTTGCATTTTTGAAAATTAAAATCCTTCGATCCGTTCAGGAGTTATGATGTTTCAAAGATTTGAATGAAATTTCGGAGAACTATTTCAAGGCCTCGGACTATATTTTTGGTAAGGAATTTTTTTCTGGAAAGTGGGTAGGATTTTGGGGGTATGTCTGTTCACCAAAAATAATTGTATTCGAGCTCCCTAGCTAAAAATAATTTTTTTAGAACGATTTGAAATTTTCTAATTTTTTCGAAAAATTTCACATCTTCTCGAATTTTTTTCTGGAAAGTGAGTAGGATTTCGAGGGTATGTCTAATGATACAAAATAATTGTATTTGACCCCCACAACTGAAAATAATTTTTCCAAAACGATTTGAAATTTTCTAATTTTTTCGAAAAATTTCTCATCTTCTCGAATTTTTTTCTCGAAAATGGGTAGGATTTCGAGGATATGTGTATTCACCAAAAATGATTGTAATTGACCCCTGCAATTAAAAATATTTTTTCTAGAACGATTTGAAATATTTAATTTTTTCGAAAAATTTCACATCTTCTCGAATTTTTTTCTCGAAAATGGGTAGGATTTCGAGGATATGTGTATTCACCAAAAATGATTGTAATTGACCCCTGCAATTAAAAATATTTTTTCCAGAACGATTTGAAATATTTAATTTTTTCGAAAAATTTCACATCTTCTCGAATTTTTTTCTCGAAAGTGGTTAGGATTTCGAGGTTATGTCTAATGACCAAAAATAATTGCAATTGACCACTGCAACCAAAAATAATAAGTTCCGCCTGTAGAATGGCAATCTGGATTTTTGCGTAATTTTCTACATATAAAACAAAGGATTAGCGTTAGATATAGTTTTTCCACTGTTACGATGCTGTTAAAAAACTTTCGCTCTCTGACAATAATGCTTTAATATCATGAATTATTTACGTTAAAAAAAATGTCGCGTCTCGATATTTTTTCACGCCACTATAGGCGTTCGATGATCAATAAACGTATACATAGAGCTTTTTAAATTTAAAATCGTTTAAAATTTTATTTTTAAATTGTGTCGATGCGAAGGTAGCCAAAAAACGAGGATTTGGGGCGCAGAAAAATGTAGGAAATATAAAATTAAGTGGTCGTCGACATAACGGTCGATTTGCAGTGTTAACACTTTACCGACCGGGTAGCGGTTGATTAATCGGCTATCGGTCGGTAAGCGTTGGTCGGTAAAACAGTTGATTAATACGCTATCGGTCGGTAAGCGTTGGTCGGTAAAACAGTCGATTAATATCGGTCGGTAATGTGTTAATAGTTTCTCAGGTGACTATATTTGTAGCGTAGTGTACCGGATGCGTAGTGTACCTAGAAAAGCGACGAGAAACGTACCCTTTCCATTTGGCATTCCTGCACGAGCGACACTTTGTTGTCCCTTAGGCCGTGTATAAGAAGCGTCGGCGTGCATATCCTTCTATGGAACACGTAGTCTCCTTCCGGCCACACCATGCCGTCCAAAACGTATTTCATGTGCGAGGGCCATTGTTCCGGCGGCTCAGGGCCGCAGTAAGGGTGTTGGCGGCCCCTCGCCGAGTACAACATGTCTCTGTGAAGGCCACACATCAAAAAAGGCGTTAGTATCGCTCTCAGGCAACAGTGGCCAGTGCTTTCCGTGCTGGGCGCTGCTAAGGGCGTTGGTCCACCTCCGGATATCAAGACTAGCTGGTGCACACTGCTGTCGTACTTGCAAGCCAAGGCTGTTGCAAAGCTGCATCTGCAACAAACAGGTCAAATAGCGTAATTAATAGGTCTATTGTGAGTACAAAAAAGAAAATGATGAGATAGAACCCTGACTGGTTAAAAATTAACGCATTGTGGACGACTCTTGGCTTTAATTTGACCATTTAACCATTTGGAGACTTTTCTTCGATATGTACTACCAACTTGAAATAGTAAATAACCAAGTAAACATACCTTTCTTAACATTCTTCTTTTCTTATGTATTTTGTCCCATACAGGGTGTCCCGTAAATAGTGTAAGAACAGGAAATGGGGGGGTAGGTGGCGCTGCGAGGTCGGACGGCCCTGAGCGCCGTGATTGGTCAGTTTTAATTCGTTAATAATTCAAAAACGAAGCCCCGTCCGACATTTTTGCAAAGGAAATTGTTGCTCAGAATCGTCTCAGCTACCCCGGTAGAACCATTTCCGGTTCTTATACTATTTACGGGACACCTTGTATACATCACTTTAAAACAGTATTATCGTTGTGTTTATTCGATTTCTAAGGGCGTGACGTAATTTGTGAACGTAATTTGTAATTTATTTCTTGATTTATGCAAGAAAAATGTTGAAAAGTGTTGTTCCAGGCATTCGATAGCGTTGCTAGAGTGTTTTAATGGAATTCTATGTTTCTGTTTAATTTATACCTGAGATGTATAGGACATAGGTGTTAGTTTTTGCAACTCAATGGAAGGAACGACTCGCTGGACTTAGCCAGCGGCCTACACGTCGTGTTGCAATGTCGCCGCGATGAATTAATAGAACTCATGTCGTTATTATGGCGTCGCGTCGAGTAGGTCGTGATTACCAGCGAAGTGGCTATATTTATTGGCGGCTTACACAATAAAAGTCGAGAGATTCCAAAAGACATACAGAGTGAGTCGAAAGGGGCATAGTAACTGAACACATATGAGATTTCAATCGACTATAGATAGATAGTACAATGCATAATGCTTTGGCAATCTATGAAAAATATTAAGTTCCTATTATTATAGTTATTTTGATTTACAATAAATTATCTTCATGCATGTGTTCAGCCAACCCTGGGGAAAATTTTAATGGGAGATTCTAGAGGCCAAAATAGGACGAAAATCAAGAATTCCAATTTTTTGATGGAGGCTTCTTTAAAAAGTTATTAATATTTTAAGTTCCGCCAGTTTTTAATTTTTTTCTTGAAAATGTGCAGGATTTCGGGGGTAGGTCTAATCATCAAAAATTATTGTAATTCACCTCTGCAATTAACAATATTTTTTTTAGAACGATTTGAAATTTTCTAATTTTTTCGAAAAATTTCACTTCTTCTCGAATTTTTTTCTCGAAAGCGGGTAGGATTTCGAGGATATGTCTATTCACCAAAAATTATTGTAATTGACCACTGCAATTAACAATATTTTTTTTAGAACGATTTGAAATTTTCTAATTTTTTCGAAAAATTTCTCATTTTATCGAATTTTTTTCTCGAAAGCGGGTAGGATTTCGAGGGTATGTCTAATGACAAAAAATGATTGTAATTTACCCCTGCAATTAAAAATATTTTTTCTAGATCGATTTGAAATTTTCTAATTTTTTGGATAAATTTCACATCTTCTCGAATTTTTTTCTCGAAAATGGTTAGGATTTCGGGGGTATGTCTATTCACCAAAAATGATTGTAATTCACCTCTGCAATTAACAATATTTTTTTTAGAACGATTTGAAATTTTCTAATTTTTTCGAAAAATTTCACATCTTCTCGAATTTTTTTCTCGAAAGCGGGTAGGATTTCGAGGGTATGTTTAATGACAAAAAATGATTGTAATTTACCCCTGCAATTAAAAATATTTTTTCTAGATCGATTTGAAATTTTCTAATTTTTTGGATAAATTTCACATCTTCTCGAATTTTTTTCTCGAAAGCGGGTAGGATTTCGAGGGTATGTCTAATGACAAAAAATGATTGTAATTTACCCCTGTAATTACAAATATTTTTTCTAGATCGATTTGAAATTTTCTAAATTTTTGGATAAATTTCACATCTTCTCGAATTTTTTTCTCGAAAATGGTTAGGATTTCGGGGGTAGGTCTAATCATCAAAAATTATTGTAATTGACCACTGCAATTAACAATATTTTTTTTAGAACGATTTGAAATATTCTAATTTTTTCGAAAAATTTCTCATTTTATCGAATTTTTTTCTCGAAAGCGGGTAGGATTTCGAGGGTATGTCTAATGACAAAAAATGATTGTAATTTACCCCTGCAATTAAAAATATTTTTTCTAGATCGATTTGAAATTTTCTAATTTTTTGGATAAATTTCACATCTTCTCGAATTTTTTTCTCGAAACTGCGTAGGATTTCAAGGGTACGTCTGTTCACCAAAAATAATTGAATTTCAGCCCCCTAGCTAAAAATAATTTTTTTAGAACGATTTGAATAATTTTTTTTTTGCTGTCGATTTTTCTTAAAAATTTGTTTTTCATTTTTAGTAATTTTGTTTGACGCCCTGCAGAAAAGTTGTCTAATACTTATTTGTAGGTACCCGTGAGCTCTACTCTAGAAAAAAGTTTCATCGAAATATGTTCGCTATTGTAGGAATTATGGCTGTTTTGATCGGGATTAAATCGGCTTCACCCTACCGACTTACATAACGAGCATTTCATCCATCCAATTGAGGATTAAAACTAGGAATAGCGAACGACGACGTCGAATTACGTAATTCAATCGTGTGTCATTAATATACAACACTCCTTTTGCAAATGGATAACGTAAAGAAGTGAAACTAAAAAAAAGTTTCACAATATTTCTTATCAGAAATACTTTGTGAAATCAATTTTCAAAATTTACGTCAGTGCCTTGAGACTACTTTAATGGATAGGCTATGATTAACTAATTCCAAAGGTGTCGATGGAACTTTTACAGTTACTTAACCTCAATTATAATATATTATATCTCGTAATCGTATCTTATTATCTTTCATTGGCGTCCTCGCGTGACAATGGACATTATTCCATCTTGTATCAGTTGATTCGACTCTTTCATACGTTACAGAACGTTACAGATTTTCATAAAACTAAAACTAAAACTAATAATGAAGGTTTGCTCGTCCCACCGCAGCGCCCTCTATGAAATTTAGGGTTGAAAATAGCAAGTAAACGGATGAATCGCAAGCAAAATTATTAAAATTCTGAAGGCAGGTGTTCTAGTTGTCCGATCGCTCTAAAATTTGGCATAAATGGTCTCTTCGAGCGTCGCAATCGAAAAGAAAATTTTGACCCCAGCCTACAGCGCACTCTATGAAATTTAGGGTTGAAAGTAGCAAGTAAACTGATGAATCGCAAGCAAAATTGAAAGAATAACTATTGAAATAGATATTTACCCATAATTGTGCGCCACCAAGACACACTTCTGTCCAGGCTTGAACGCGTAATGGCACAGAACAGAGTCCAGATCCTTCAGCAGCTTGTTGAAGTGATAATCCCTGGATCGGCCAGGTGCAGAGCTCATGCCATGCCCCAGGATGTCTGGCGCGATGCAAGGATAGCCCAGAGCAGAGAAATACTCCAACTGATGGTCGAAGATCTCCGCGGATGATCCAAAACCATGGAGAAAGACTATCATCGGTTTCCTGTTCCTCCTAAACGTGACAGTATCGCCAGGACTCTGTTCAGTTGTGGTGTCCTCGACTGGCCACATCTTCCTGTAATCCTCCAGCTCGATAGACGTGGTCTCCTTCCTGGACTGGAACGTACCCATCTTCTCGTTCCAGCTGCTCTTCTCCAAAGACTCCTCCGACACGGCTGGGTTCGTGCACAGTTTCCTCTTCAGCCTCGACATCGCTTTGCCCTTCTTGGGCCTCAAGGGCGACCTGTCGTCCTTGAATTCCAGCCGCAGATTCTCGAAACTGGGCTCGTTAACAATTTCCTCCAGGTCCTTCAGATCCACCGCGGCCACTCTACCCTCGAGATTATCCGTCGCCTCGCTGCTTTCCGCGTCATTCTCACCGGTGACCTCCGATCCCTCCGTAGCTTCCTCGCTTCTCGGATCCACCTTTGTCTGGTCCTCCCAACTGTTGCTCAGAGGCGTTCTACCCAGCTTCTCGTCGATGATCTTCAGCAACGACTGCTCCAAGCTAGGCTCCTGGTCCGGCTGGAACTCTATCGTCTCCACGCTGTTGATCCCCGAATCTATGCAGTCCAACTGCTCCAAGGTGACCTCCGTGCCCACCGACCGTCTCAAGTAAAAGTCCAGGGAATCCGGATCGTTCGTCGACCCCATGAACCCACGGTTCACGTATCCCTCGTTGCTCACGGACTCCTTCTCGTTCCTGTCCGGACGGAACGAGAAGCTGATGTCGAACGACTTCTCGTTGGCCTTATCTCTCCTCTTTTTGGAGTCCTTTGCATCCTTCGTAAGAGTGTCCTCAGCTCCTGCGATGTACTTCACGGTGTCGTCTAGTATCTCCTCCAGGAGCACGTTGATATACTTCTCCAAGTCCTTCACGATCTTGTTCTTGATCGTTTGCTCGTCCTTCGTGGTACTCTCCTCCGCTTTCTCTTTCGTCTGTTGGATCTCTGGGACTTGGAGCTTCTGCAAGTTCACCGAGACCTTCTGCTCGAGCTCCTCGATGGCGGACTCGTTCTTCTCCGCCTCGCAGAGGCTCGTCCTGATTCTGTTCAGCTCCGCGGAGATGATCTGCTCCTCAGCGGTGCTGAGACGTCTCGACTGCCTAAACGAGCACCTGCAGTTCCCGGAAGAGTGGGGCCTCCTGGCCCAGCGAGTGAAGAAATTGTCTATTATCGACTCGGGTCTCTCGCTGGTGTTCTCGTAATACCAACCGCTCTTCAGGGTAGGTTTCACGATTCTCAGGGTACGTCGAGGTCCCACGATAAAAAAGTCGCAGTCTGGAAGCTCTACTCTGCCCGGACCCACTCGATTCCTGTTCCTCCAATACTCGAAGAACTTGGTGTACCAAGGGGTGCCTGGTACCGCTGGTTCTCCCTCTGTAGCCATGTTTTGGATAGCAATTTGCAACCTGTAGTGGTCATAAAATCGAGAATTGGCCCTGCTGTATCACGTTCCTCGTTGTGTTCATAAAATCCTATAACAAAAATATTTACAGTCTTCTCTCTTCGCGTTGCTGCCTCTGAGTTACCTTTTCAACTATAAACGTACTCGTGTACTCTCTGATCCACACTACGGTGTCTTTTCTTGGAAAATAAGGAAGAGTTGTAACCGGTGAATATTGTAATAACGACGCTGTAATCTACGGTAGCCATTAAGCTCTTCGTCAACCTCTGATGGAAGCTAATTGTCTCTGTTAATTCTTCTGATACGATCAACGATTTACAATATTTTTTCCTTCTTATAAATCTTGTTATTTACAATAATTCTCTGGAAAAGACTCGACGCAATTGTCTTTTGTTAACTTATGCACCGATGCTCTTCTTGGAAACTAAATATCATTATTATTCTTAGAGTATAGTGTTTCTTCAGTCGATTGTAACTTGGTCAATATTTTCTTGCAATGTTGTTCCACTGGATCGCAGTCTCTTGCAACACTTTTCCCAGTGATTTCTGCAATCGTTGCACGGTCAAGCGCGATTTCCCCGCGAGAAACGAAAGTAACATTTCGCGTTGAGTCCTTCTGTTGAGGTGTTCACGGCTCGGCGAATCACCGTCGAGCGTTCCACCACTCGGCTCTCGTCCAATCGCTACGTTCGACGTTTCAACCTGCGAATAACAAGCTTGGTTAATGGGGATATGCACATCGACATCTTTGAAACTGTATTTTGGGTCACAGTATTTAAAATCGAAGGTGTTTTGTTGATAAATGAGAATCTGATTCATAGACTGCGTTTTTGTTAATAAAATTATTAAAATTGGAGGTTTGTAGAGGGTCAATACCTAAAACTCATTTTAAAGCAATCTGAAATAATAACACGTCGATAATTTTTATTTTCTGAGCAGATTTCTCAAGTTTTCCACAGTCGACTCCTCCTTGCCGTCAAACTGGTTATCAGGATTTATTTTTCATATTTCCCGCGCGACGCGATCTCGTTTAAACGCGTACAGAAGCTTTCTTGGATATCACGGATCAGGTTTCGCATATTTACAGCGCCGCGGTGCAGCGTGTCGCAATTGAACGTCAGATATACACCCTTTTTTCAAAATCTATGCAAATTAAATGTCCTGAAATCGAAATTGGTGTCAATTTTAAAATGTAAATTTGAAATAATTCCATGCGCAAAGAATTATATTCTTTTTTTAATTTCTGATAAAACTAAACGTTATTACTTTGAATTATTATATGACACATAATACTGTATATGTGAGCAGATTTCTCAAGTTTTCCACCGTCGCCCCCTCGTTGCCGTCAAACAGGTTATCAGGATTTATTTTTCATATTTCCCGCGCGACGCGATCTCGTTTAAACGCGTACAGAAGCATTCTTGGATATCAGGTTTGGATGACACTGTCTTTTTATTTTAACGCTTTTTCTGGTATTACGTTGCAAAAATATGATTAGTCACAAAGCTGTACATCTTAGCTCTTAGTAGATCATCGAAAGAACTGATACAAATACTGAAACGTTATTCTAGAATTTATAAAAAGTTTAACTAACAGTTTTAAGATATAGATAAAAAAATATTGTATCGCGTAATAATTAATTTGTTTTTCCTGGACTGGACTAACCCAGACATAACCCAGACTTAATTCAGACTTATTCCAGACCTAACCCAGATCTAACTCAGATCTAATCCAGACCTAACCCAGACCAATTCATCGCTGATAACGGGGGTTAGGTCTGGGTTAGGTCTGGATTAGATCTGAGTTAGGTCTGGGTTAGGTCTGAGCTAGCTCTGGGTTAGGTCTGGATTAGATCTAGGTTAGGTCTGGGTTAGGTCTGAGTTAGGTCTGGGTTAGGTCTGGATTAGATCAGAGTTAGGTCTGGGTTAGGTCTGGATTAGATCTGAGTTAGCTCTGGGTTAGGTCTGGATTAGATCTAGGTTAGCTCTGGGTTAGGTCTGGATTAGATCTAGGTTAGGTCTGGGTTAGGTCTGGATTAGATCTGAGTTAGATTTGGGTTAGGTCTGGGTTAGGTCTGGAATAAGTCTGGGTTAGGTCTGGATTAGATCTGAGTTAGATTTAGGTTAGGTCTGGGTTAGGTCTGGAATAAGTCTGGGTTAGGTCTGGGTTAAGTCTGAATTAAGTCTGGGTTAGGTCTGGATTTATAGATAACCTTATTCCCCAGGGAATAGATTTATTTTGTTTTAAATAGATTTAACCCAGACCTAATCCAGACCTAACCCAGACGTAACCCAGATCTAATCCAGACCTAACCCAGACCTAACCCAGACTTAATTCAGACTTATTCCAGACCTAACCCAGACCTAACCCAAATCTAACTCAGATCTAATCCAGACCTAACCCAGACCTAACCTAGATCTAATCCAGACCTAACCCAGACTTATTCCAGACCTAACCCAGACCTAACCCAAATCTAACTCAGATCTAATCCAGACCTAACCCAGACCTAACCTAGATCTAATCCAGACCTAACCCAGATCTAATCCAGACCTAACCCAGACTTAACCCAGACCTAACCCAGACTTAATTCAGACTTATTCCAGACCTAACCCAAATCTAACTCAGATCTAATCCAGACCTAACCCAGACCTAACCTAGATCTAATCCAGACCTAACCCAGACTTATTCCAGACCTAACTCAGACCTAACCCAAATCTAACTCAGATCTAATCCAGACCTAACCCAGACCTAACCTAGATCTAATCCAGACCTAACCCAGAGCTAACTTAGATCTAATCCAGACCTAACCCAGAGCTAACCTAGATCTAATCCAGACCTAACCCAGACCTAACCCAGACTTATTCCAGACCTAACCCAGACTTATTCCAGACCTAACCCAGACCTAACACACCGGTGTGCAGCTTAGAGTGAGAGTACACTTATACTGTACAACGCTTTATGCCTACCATCCTCGATATAATTACGTCCACGATCCGTGCCCATTATGCAGATTATTCGAATAAATCAGCTCTCGGCGTGCCACAGCCGGTTAGTCATAAAACGAGCATAGATTTTTCCAGAAGAGACCATAATACGCGCGTTGAAAATAAGAAATCTCGGTGTGTATTTAAAAGTGGCAGAACAAACGACGAACAGACATTACTTTGACACAGACACGTTTCAATTCCTCGTTAATTACCTTTCTCTGAAATTAATCAGCACCTGTGCCTATTCCGTGCTACGCCAGCGGAACGAAATTCCTCGTTCCGCCTTAACAATGACATTCCTCTCGCGCGCGCAAAAAAAAAAGACAGCCATTCAGCGTGCAATTGTAAAATCTGAATGTGATAAACTGAAACGTGCTACGTGCAAGCATCCCTAGCTATTATACTTGCCCTTTGAACCCTGTAAGCACGTCGACCGCCTTTTTTTCACGCACACGTCGTCGAAGCGTGGTTGGAAGCCGACTGTTCCCCATCCCCCTGCGAACACAACGACCACTTGTTGCTTCTGGCAGTGATTCTCACCTCGTGGACACGAAAATTGTCTTACAGCAACACCCCGCGACCGTTCACGGGCGCTTTCCGCGTCAACGCGTCAATTGGCACTTCCTCTCTGCTACGAACTGTTCTCAAGCACGAAAATCGAATGGCCACTTTCACGAGACACGAGCGCTGCCCGACGGGGGTACACGCTCGAAATTCACACCCGCCGATACGTTTTTCACCGCCACTTTTTTCGACACGCTCGGTCGCGTGTCGACGTTCACGACGTTCAACATCCGCGAGGAAGAAACATTAATAAAAGTACGAAATAGACGGTTGACGATGCTCACTGTGTCGCTGAGCCCCGTCGACTGCACGCACGCGGAGGTAGCGCGCATTTTCGTGGGCGTGGAACGGCGAATTAAAACGGGAAAATTAAGGACGATTGACACTGAACCGCCGCACGTCGGGTCACGGCGGCCATTGCGCGTCCCGAGGCACACGCACGCCGCGCACACCACTCTGCGCAGCTTGCGCGCGCTTCCTACACGGTCGCTTGAAAATCAAATAGTCAAGATTCTTATAATGTAACATAAGTTGTTAAAAAATAATACTCTGCAATTTTAAATGTGGAATCAGACATCCGTCAAATTGACTGTTTCCGTAAATCTAGTGTTAAGAATATTACAGACATTGTAAAAAAATTGTTTGGCAGTTTGGAAGGTACTATGACACTGTACTTACAAAAATCAAATTAAGGATAAATAAACTTTTGGTAAATGTTTAAGAAATTCACGGAAATTTGCAATAAATTTAAATATTGTGAAACCCGAAATTGGTGTCAATTTTAAAATATAAATCTGAAATAGTTCCATGTGCAAAGTATTATATTCTTTTTTTAATTTGTGATAAAACTAAATACTATTACTTTGAATTATTATATGACTCATAGTACTGTACATGTGAGTCATAAAACTTATCATGAGCGTCAAATTTGTACACATTTGTATACATTAAATAGGAACAGTACACAAAGGATTGTCAGATTAAATTGAAGTAAAATATATGTACATTGATTAGGAAATGGGTACATAAAAAGTAGAATCTTCGGTATATAGATATGGCCGATTTGTTACTGAAATCCAACACGAAATATACAGATGATTTATTATCCACGTAAATAGTTACAGTTTGTTTAATAATTTCTGAAACTTAATGTCCAATGAGAGGGAGATTAGTTTAAATAATTGCAATTTCATTTTCAATCGTGTCAATTGTGATATACGATCGTTTTTTAATACAATTAATTATTTCTTTTCCATTCGATGAGTATCTCCATTTTAAAAACAATTTACTTGGATCTAATAACTATTTAAATAATTTTTAAATATTGAAATGTAATTTAATAAAAAATATGTAAATGTTAAATATTGTAATAAGCTTCTTATTTCCAAATTTGATCCACTGGAATTTAAAATAAACTATAATATTTGATTTTTTATAGAATTTTTATGTTTAATAGATGATTTGTACTTTGATAGTTTGCTAATAATTTATTATTTGATATGATGATGTTTGTCTGAGTTTTAAAATCCATAGAAAGCGGAATTTCTTTTTTGAAATGATCATCTTATTAAATGTGATCTTTTATTAAAATTTGTTCTACATTTCTATCGAGACAGGATGAGAAAACCGCGGCGCGTGTACCGGAAACGAATAAATATCTAGTTCCTGTAAAAGAAAGCAGCAGCGATTGAAAATAATGCGCTGTTATCAGGGAAATCTCGTATTCGACGATTATTCTTGAACCATTGAATAAAACAGATTTATTAATTTTGATATATCAGTCGTAAATGTAAAAATATGTAAATTGTTATTTAAAAAGAATTCAATCAAATTGTTCAAATTTATTCAACAAATTGTTCAAACTTATTCAACAAATC